AGGGAAATTGAATTCAATGTTCCCAGTAGGATTAGAATAATAACTTCCATGTATCTCAATGGAACAATTAGGCTATTCTTCTCCATAATTCTTATTGGACTCATCCTAACCACGTAAAGTTTTTATAAGGAAACTAGTTTGTATAATATAATTGCTCTCAATTTGAGATTAATTTGAATGTTTTTAATGCGATGAATCAAGCCAGTTTTACAGTTTTCATAGATAATAGAGTACTCGTTGTGAATCTAGTCACTTTTACATATTTCATAGACAATATATTACTCGTTGTGAATCAAACCACTTTTACAGTTTTCATAGACAATAGATTACTCATTGTGAATCTAGTCGCTTTTACAGTTTACATAGACAATAGATTACTCATTAAGCTACCTGACTCATTTTCTGTGTAAACAGAACATGTATTTATCTAATTTCCAAAGAGATCAAAATGATCATTTTAATTCACCTCATTAATGAATTGAGTAATTATTTCCATTGTTATTTTGTGGAATCAGAATATCTAATGCTAATATTCACAGTGGAATTAGGTAGTTAATTTCTTATATTTTAGAGGAATCTGGTCATTCAGATTCATTGCACTCATTAGAACGAAACTACTTACTTTTGAAGTTCTCTTTGGGTCTGGTTACTTATCTTTATTAACTCATATGAAATCAGATTGCTTAACTTTAGGATCTTCAGTGGAATCAGATTGTTATTAAAACGTTTTCATCAAAGGCAAACTAACTATGATACTGTGAAGCTCAGTCGTCGTTATTTCGCTTTTTAAAAGTAAAATTATGTTAAATTAAATTAAATAACATCTATAACACTAGTTTTTTGAACGTGTACTTTATAAAGAACATTACACTGGGCAAATAGATAATTGTTATGTTATTATAATATATAGTACATTGAAATGCACGTATTTATTCTACAACAATAATATTCTGTGTCTAAGTATTTGGTACTTGTAGTAAAATTTCTTTCATTACAGATTCAAACTGTCTACAAATTTTATTAACTATAAAGTAAAATAGAGTAAGACATTACTTACAAAACACATAAAAAAGGTCAATACAATTTATCTGTTGATGTAGTAACACTAGTGTACATCCAACAGCAACAACACGTGTAAGTTTCAAACTAAATTGTCTAGCTACCTAACAGGAGATTTATAGTAATGTTCTGTTACACTGTATAATTCTCCCAAACAACAGTAAGGGGCCAATGAAACCCAATTTTTCAGCCTTGTCTGTGTCACTTTAATTAGGTTGGTCGCAAAGATAAGTGACTTCCGACACATGTGACTCTTTAGTAAGAGGGTCTATATTGTTCAGTTTGCTACAGTACTAATTGAACTTGATGTTCAACATATGATAGGAGCAATCTCGTTTTTGTTTATTTATAATTAAGCACAAAGCAATACAATGGGTTATTTGTGCTGTGCCCACCACGGGTATCGAAATTCGGTTTCTAGTGTTATAAGTCCGCAGACCTACCGCTCTGCCAATGTGGGGCCTCTTGTTTTTGAAAACTATCAGTGAGTTCTGGACCTCTTTATAAGCTCTCTTTTATCTTCCAAACCTTGTAATAATGAGCAAATTTTACTGTCCAAAATGAGCTGTGAGAAGTAAACGTTATGTCATAACTTATCTGGAATATTTGTATTAAAAATGGAAATTTTATAATTTCGAAATTAAAATTTTCTCAATTTTGTTTTGTTTTTTAAATCTTGAGCATTACCCTTTGATTATCTAAGTCTAAATAATGAACATTATTTGTAATAAAGGAACATTTTCTATAGTTAATTCTGATAGATAAAGAAATTTATCAATGTTGAGAAAAGTGCAGTTTTTGGTAGAACAACATTACCTATTAAATCTTTTATTTTTCATCAGTTATTATTATTATATATAATATAACCTACAATTTATTTATTGTACATGTAGATATACGCGCTAACAAGTAAGTGAACACGCCAACACAGTTCTAATATAACAATGTAAAATTATACTATTTGTACAAAAGGTATAATTTTAAAGTGAAAATGTCTGCAGTTATAACTCCCAAAAGCGTTGGGGATATTCCGTCTATATGACATAATCAAAACAACAGATGCAGAGCTGGTCAGCATGTAACCGAAAAAAAAGGGGATTAGGATCTGGATGCAAGAACCCACAACGTCCCAGATCCCACTATCACTCACCGTCTATAGCCGGTTGTGGGTATGATAGTTATCCTTAAAAAAATCCTTATTAAATCACCCTTGATTTCTATCATAGATCATCCAACCTTCTCCCTAATATATTTACTCGGATATTAAATTATGAAATATTCAACCTTACTGTACATTTCAAGTAATAATATTGACACTTTATCACTGCAAGCTATTAATAACTATTCAATATAGTATAAGCAGTAATACTTCAAATAATATTTCAGTTAATCTTTTTATTATTAACTGTAAACCCACCTATATATTTCTCGTACCCCTCCCTTTCTAAGAACATGACTTTCAAGTATAACTGGGTAAACTGAGCCAGGCCCAGTTGCCTGAAGTTAGCCTTTCCGACCCAAAAATATTGAAAGCATTATAAAGTTAATGCTAGTCTTTATAATAAGATTTTATATGCTAGCAAGCTCTCATTCAAGTTAGAAATAATTGTACTCAAGTTGTTAGTAAATGATTTACTTTCTAATAATTTATGAAATTTATTATAAAATAATTTAAAGACTTTACTAATTTCATAATTATTATAACCTATTCAATAGAAGTTTATATGTTAACAATTCTATGTTATATATGAAAAAAGTGTTTTTATTGCAGACTTTTATGTATCTTTTAATTTGAGAAATAATTATACCTTTTAACATTTTATATAGTACCACACTATTTGGGGAAGACAATCCTAGGATAGAAAATTTAAATTATCTTCTTTTATCAATTATGTCCAACTGCACTTTATTTTCTGACAAATTAATGTCTAGATCTAATAGTGTGTTATGAAACTACACGTTGCTACGTTCTAATTCGAGTTTAGGATAAATTTCAACTGGTTCAAACTCTGTATTATTAATCAATATTAAATCGTCAATATAACGGAAGTAACTACATATTTGTTAGAATTTGTTATTTTGTTCAGAAATATATTTTCATAAAATAAAAATACAAGTTAGCCATATTTGAAGAGAAATTAGCCCCCATAGGGATGTTTACTATCTGATTATATATTTTATCATTAAAGGTCATACAATTATTAAATATACAAAAATTCAGAAGGTCTTTACACTGTAAACTTAAAAATTTATATTTAGAAACAGCTATATTTTCAACTATAAATTCATCTATTAAGCTATTAAAGACTTTTATTAAATCTTTTAAATTTAATTTGGTATACAGTGTAGTCAAATCATATGTCAGAACAGAAAACGCTGAACTCGAAGAATTTAAAAATTGTCAGCATTCCAATACCTGTGTATTGTTTTTATTATCCAGAACAAATGTTTCGAAATACTTAGAGATTTTAGTTTTATTTCAGAAAATAGTAAATCTAAAATTTTATTTAATATGATAGTTAGCGGTTTGGTAATGGTATTTACTGAATTTGTAATAAATCGAAACTTAATTGAAGTTTTATGTAGTTTTGGAATTGCGTATAAGAAAGGTAAATTTAAATATTTAGAATTAACAGCTATATTCCATTTTTAAATGATTTTATGTAACTTATTAATAATTGTATTTTTATCTGAAGTAAACTCAGTAAAAGATTTTGTTATATTAATTTCATTTATTATAACCTGTGCATAAAATATTTTATATATAAATCCAAAGCTGCTTTAGCTTTATCGATTGGAGTAATCAAAAATAGTTTTTGAATTTATTTGATTTTTTTTCTAATTAGGAATATCTATAGTATATATATATATATAGATAAATTTAAATACCTTAACTTCTTTCTTATGTTATTTATAATAACTATTCAAAGAAAAACGTGGAGGATATAAAATTTTTTGACTAATTTTTATATTATATTCATCAATATTGTTTCTATATTTTGTATTATTTCATTCTTTGTAGTTTTATTTAAGATTCTAAATTCAGTTCCTTTCTTTAAAATGTTTATAGGATCAATATCTTTGATCACACATTCAAATCACTAGTAATAATATGCTTATGAAAAAAATCATTAAATGTATTATTATTACATTTGCAAGGTAAATTATCCGTATCTTCTGGATTAAGATTTTCAGTGAATTGTTTATAGTTAAAAATCAAAGGTCCTATCGTTTTCTTGTATGTAAAGCTAACAGATGGTTCTAATGTTTTTATAGGAAATACTTTTTCTTGAACACTTTTATGTATGGTTTAAGGCAGAAAAAGATCATCATACACTTTATATTTAAAATCTATAACAATATATGATTTTTATTGGAGGTTATATTATATGGTACGCCATATACATTTAATCATTTTATGTCCAATGACCTTTTTTTTGGACGTAATGACAGATTCAATTAACGTTTAATGTGTTGTTATAGTTTTCCTTAATAAGAATTGTTAATAATGCATGTTCAAGTTATAATAAATATAAAATCCTATGACTTATATGCTGAAGTTGTGAATACCTTGCATTCCTTCTAATTGCAAACCAAAGTAATTGTGCAATATTGTTGTGAAATAAAAATCAACACCGATCGTAAGAATTCGTTGAACGTGAAACAACGATTCTTTTTATAAAAAACATTATCATATAAACATTTATCTTCAGCAGTACAAGGCAATAATTTATCAAAATTGTTTACAAAATATCATATGGTCGATGAAGACTTTTCTTCTGAATTTTATCGATAGTAATAGAAGCATAACATATTCTGAAATCCAAAGTTGTGATTGTATTTGTATAAAAATATTTAATCTGAATTCACTTGAATCACAAACGTTAACGAACCTGTTTTTACTTCAATGATTCCAAAGGAAGCACGATATGTCTACTTACCACCTATAAGCATAGTGAGTATGGAAAACACTTTTTCTGTGTTTGTGTTGGCAGACACGTTACCAAATCCTACACTGGTAAGACTACTCGTGGTGAAATACAGAGCTGTAATGTAGGCAGTAGCTGTATCTGTATAATTCACAAAGTCGTTGCCTAATTTATTCGATAACTGATGTAGCCATCCTGTGAAAGAGCCATAAATTGCTTATTAAAATTTGATTAAAGTCAACGAACAATTTCTTTTACACGTATAGGTACTTAACAAAGGCTGTTAAACATTTAAACATAGTGAAATTTAATCGCCTTTGCTTTAGCTAAATAAACATGTAAGTAACATATGATAAGAAGTGTATATTGATTAGTTTTGTATTTCGTTTTTTGCCTATTTGTTCAGCCACTTAATGAGTGTATTAATAAACAGATTTGTGTTTCCGACAAGTGAGGTAAGTTATATTGCGTCAAAATATTTACAAAAATTTTCGAAAAAACAGACACTAATGACTTCAATCGTTTGAAATTTTCTTTAAAGCTTAAGACACTGAAAACTAGCAAATATGGTGAAAAATAACAGACATGCATTATTTATGAACGAGAATCTATATTTGTTATATATATTTATATATGTATAAAATCTAACAGAGTTTCTAATAAATGCGGTTTTAAAAATACATAAGGTGAACTAAATTGTTCACACTTTTATGTTTGGTAATACACTACCCTCCAATAAAATACTACTACTCATAATACTGATTGAAATCCTTATAGCTTATGCAGCAACACAGTATTTTCAGTGAATCTGTTTCATGTACAACATATGATGGAGCGGACATGTGACAACAATGTCATGAGACGTTCACTTTTGCAGAAAGCATCAAACTTTGTATATATAGGTTTTAAAACATGCTAATTTCAAAGCCTTAGTGAAGCAACTTCTCATAGTAAACCATCTTGTTTTAAACTGTGTATCATGTAAGTTCGAGTTGGGCAGAGTAGACATATTAGGCTTGAAACTTAAATGAACTGCAACTACTTGTTGAAAGAAAACGAGACAACGTTTCGGTATCTTTACTGAGGCCTTCTCCAGTATAGAAGCCGGAACGTCATTCCCTTTTCTTTCAACAGGTAGTTGCAGTCAATTAACGTTTTCATACCTACCATAAAGGATCAGGCCGAGAATATTTTGATATCTTTTATTTAAATAACTCTTTGGTACTATCATGATATAAAAAACTGTTTAGTTTAGATATTATTGATTGATTTATTTTTGTGAGTAAATATTTTATTATTGTTTAGTTTTTGTTGCAATAAGAGTTAAAATCAGATGATTATAAGAAGTTGTGTGTATAAGTCCTTGATGCTGAGACTATCGAATGTCGCGTACAATACATTGACGTCAAGAATATAGAAGGCGAGCAGACGATTAAGTTATAGACATATAAATAGTGTGAGACGGGCGGAAACAGCAGACAGACAATAACGGAAGAGAGTAAAGTTACAGGCAAGGTAAAGTTCGGCGTGAAGTTGACTACAGTAGACGTGATAGGCCTAACGTTTAGTATGTTAGAGTAAGTCTAACAGTAGAAAAGGATATAAGAATAATAATTTATTCCGTCAAAGCGTGGTTCTAAGGTAATTGAATCAGCCTGAGTGCACTTTTACAAAAGGAACAGAGGATATTTAGAAGAAAGAAGACCAAACGATTACAGTAATTCGCGCCACAATTGTAAGTGAATCACACACACAAAATACTAGTGCGATAGTAACAGAGAATATAGTTCGGCTTGCCAACTGAAATTTAAAGTAATTGAAGAGGTATAAGTGGACTTTTGACAAGAAGAAGAGCACTATATATATAGTGTATGTGATAGGCCTATAATCTTTATAGAGCAGAGAATTTGTTGTACATACGTTTAACTTGTTCCGAAAAATATATATATATATATATATTTGAAAACAAGTGAAGTGCGTGCTGTTTATTTATTTATAATTCTAAGCCCAACTACACGGTATATATTTATAATATTAAGAAGTATAAGTAAAAACCTTTTTATCTGGACAATTGGAGGGAAAGAAATTATATATTTTAAATTCTTACAGGTACTAGCCATCTTTACACGAATATTTATATAATATTTTATTAAAATGTTACCAAAGACTCCTAGTTTGCTTATTTTAATTTATATCATTAAAAAATATACTTAAGCTTGCCGTTTAACAACATACTACAAAACACGCAATCGTCGCCTTGGTGCAATAGGGAGTCACGTTATACATGATTATACAATAACGAGTTATGTGCATTTGCTCCTTTCGTATTTAGTATTCAAATAAAGATTACAGTAAGAATAGTGCTGTTTAAATTATGTGAAAATCTAAGATAAAATGACAAGTACACTTGACTTGAATGTATACGTTTTCCTTCGCAATTTTGATGTTTGTTTTTCCACGGAACTAGGTCAAGTGCACGGTTAGTAACATTGTAATATTGTACTTGTTTAAAACTTTGTAACTAGCAAGAATGTGTTTTGCTGTTTGAAACTACTTTCGTTGAAACAAAATTGGCCATGTTTTCAGTAGGAAAATTAATTTTAAGCCTTTCACTATTCACTGTTCAATGTAACTATCCAATGCCTAGCACAGGTAGTAGGGACTAGATGTTTTAAGCAGAGAGAAGGTAGATAGAGCAGGTGGAGGGATAACAATGTGATTTATATATGGTAACGTTGATGTAATTTACAGGCTAAGTATATGAAAGCATAGAATTTTCCATCTCAATGCTGTTCAAACTTTATCAAACATGGAAATCATTGAAGCAGTTATCTGTTGTTTTTGTATGCAAATATTCTCACCATTTGCTGAACGTATGTGTAAGGGGTCAACCAACTCCTTCAGATATGATAATATGATAACATACTTATTATCATTGTATCTTATCTACATCCCTGATGAATGTGTACATTTTCTGTGAATTATGAGCAACATGTACCGGTTTGGGTAAGTGACACGCACATACAACAGCAACAGATGTTGACAAATGCCATGACAAAAATAGTTAAATACTACAACACTGTGGGAAGTATACAGTTATATAAAAGATGGGTTAAAATGTGACTCAGATGTTAACTCATTCAGAATTAGAGATTTTACTCTAAACTTAGACTATTTAAATCTTTAGAACTAAACTTTTTGTAAGTCAGGAAATCATGAAATCAATATCTAAATGTATAGAAATCTCCAATACTGGGCAGTCGTTTTATTAGGTGCTAGTTTTTTATCATAAAATATTAAGAAAAATTAGTCTGGCATCCTTTTATAAGAAAAAAAAATGTCAGATATTAACAATTCATCAGTTAAGAACTTAATATTTTCAAATAATCGTGAAAGGAAAAGCATCCATCACCATTTGGCCTCAAATTTGCATCAAAACTTCAAGACTAAATGCACTTAAGATAGGAAGGGACATTTCAATACCCAGAAAATAACTTTTGAAAAAATTGGAGGTATATATATCCATACTCCATCACCTCGGATCTGCCAATGATATTATTGAGAAGCCATTGTCTGACAATTTGTTTACCTAATGTTTAAAATCAGCAAATCTTAAAATCTTTTTATACCAAAGTTCGTGCTTTCTAACAAAAGTGAACATCTTTCTCGCATGTCCACTACACTATAACCCATAAATTGTTTTTATACCGAAAGGACATGTAATGAATACACATCATGCTATGTTATGGAACTACATTTTATTCGTGTGTGTGTGTAATAACATTATATTACTAAAAGTTGTTTTCTTGAATTGAAGAGCAGTGCAGCTAGTATTAGTAATTACGAATGACTCTTTTCTTAATGTTTTCCATTCAAAAGACTATTATTTTCTCCCCCCCTTCTCAGTGAGCGTATCTGATAATATGAGGATATCTACCAGTCACTGATATGCAGTGATAAAATGCTTAATTTAACGTTATATGAGATCATAGAAAGCAAAATGCGACGTCTATGATTAAACTTTGCACCTCTTCTTAGCGTTACGTGTTGGAGGAATGCTTTTGTGAATACAAAAGTAGCTTATTCTAAATTTTAGCATGCTAATATATGGGGTGTGTGATGGAACCAGGTCATAAGAAATTGATTAAAATTCCACTAGATAATATAAATTTTACTTGAAATCATAGAAGTTCTGTTTCTCATTTTTACTTATTTCTCACAGAAAAATATTTAAAAAATTCTGGCTAAGTAGTTCATGAAAGAGCTAGACACAATTCTCTTGTTTGTCCTGGGTCATACTACGCATTTTTTAAAAGTACTACAACAACATGATTTTTCCTTTGTTCGTCCTGGGTCATACTACGTATTTTTTAAAAGTACTACAACAACATGATTTTTCCTTTGTTTATTCTGGGGCATACTGCGTATTTTTTAAAAGTACTGTAACGATAAGATTTGATGTAATTAGTGTGTGGACTCAAAGTGTATCTAATATTTTCTATTTATACTAAAGTCTTGTTTGTTCGTTTTGGAGAAAAGGTGCATTGAGCTATCTGCTGTGTCCACCGCGTGAAATCGAACGTCGAATTTTGGCGTTGTAAGTTCGGGGGACCACTATAGTCAAATAAGTAAATGTGTGAAGTAAACGAAACAATATTTTTTTAGATTTCACATCACGTATTTTACTGTTCAATCTTCTATAAAATCGAAAGTTGTTACACTTGCGTTTTCTCCACTAAAATATTTATTTTTACTAAAAGTATAATAAAATGTATTCAACAGTTCTCTATGATAAATCATTAATTGAAACGAAACTACTAATTACAGTAAATTATTCTAAATACAAATGAACATAAAAACCAAATATTAAAGAACTAAGCATTGAAATAAAAAATTGTGACTTTTATAACTTGGAAAAAAAATCGCAGATAAATCTCTGACATTCCGGTTCTTTCTAGCATGGTGGATTTATAAGAATAAGCTAAAGTATAATTTGTTAAGCAGTTGGAAAAAATGACATGTTAAAAATGTCAACTTTTAAAAATAAGTACTAGATGTGATGATGTGAAATACCCAACATAATTGTTAGTTCGAAAATAAAGTCTCAGGAAACAGAGAAAATATGTATATATATATATATTATGTTGTCAAGACATTAATGTCACTTTTTGAGATGAAAAAACCCGAACAATTTATATAAAAACAAAGTATTTATCAAATGAAAAACTCTACAATTTTTATCGATGATGCTTTTTCATCTTACAATCAGGTTGTTAATGCTCTGATTAAAGAAATC